AAGAATATGTGAACTATTCACTAATTCCAAGTTGGTTCTAGCGCGCACAATCTTATTGCAGCTGTCACTCAGACACTCATTGAAAGAAGAAATCAGTGACTCAGTGGAAGGATGAACAGTACAACAACCAGGGGTAAGTATCCAGGAGTATACACTGTGAACAGCTTGAATGCTTTGTCGCCCCCACCCCAAACCTGAACATTTGCAAAAGGAACAAAAATTTGGAAGCGTTTAAGGGTGCAACGTAATTACAATTCGAAAAATTGGTGACGTATCCCTTGGAACACCCCTCTGTTTCGCTCCCAAGTCTCAAGTTTTTCACGCAACTGAAGCAACCCTTCGGAAAGGTCTACCCGAAGTGAATTTGAAACATTTGCAAGCATGAAAGCTGCACAAAACATAAGCTCCAAAAACAGAAAATACTTGAATGGCACAAAAGAGCAACCAGATTCATAGTTATGGAAAAAATGTGAACCACCACTCCATCATAAACTCTCTTTATTTTAGCATTTTTTACAATGCAAAACCTGAACATCATATGACATGCTTCAAATATTAGTATTAAAGGCATCACATTTAGAGAACATGACCAGAAACTGCATCGAAGACAATAGATAAAACTCTTGGAAGTCGAGATAGGTAAGATCTATGAAGGAACGAGCGTGTAAGGGACATTACATTTTCGTCAAACGAAAACGCCACGAGGAAAACGACCATCTGCAGATGATCTGCTTGCGTAGGAAACATGCACGTGAAAGCTATAATGAAAATAACATGTAAAGTGGAGACCTAAATAGAGTAGTGAATCAGTGCATAGCTATACAATCACAAAATGTATGCACAACAAGCTCAACAGAGGCAAATCGAAAACAAAGGGGCGTCATACAATGGACCTAAAGAATATCAAATGCAAACACAGTAAATATGTAATGAAACGCAAATAAATAAATTTCAACATTCATTCACGTGACCGCACGTTGCCGAGTATGAACCATTTTGAGTGTCCTGGATCTTCTTCATCAATTTCACAACATTCATGGTTGGGACTAAAAATATCACAAAACAACATGAGTTTACGTGTTTGAGAATTGATCAGAAAGTGATAACAGGTGATAGGGGCTGATAAGAAGCGTTGAACGCAAATGTCACGAAATTCACAGCAAGGCCCAGCAGCATTGAGGCGTTGCTTTGCAGATATGATATAGGGGGTGGGACGGGAACATATTTGATGGGGACCAGAAAGTGATAACGGCTGATAGGGGCTGATAAGGAGCGAAAGCAAATGTACTGAAGTTCTTATCCAGATGTGGGATAAGAAAACATCTCATTTTTTGCGATGTAGTCGTGATCCATTCGACCGCTAATCTGCCCGAGCTTCCTAAGATGGTCGGTGTCTGTGGAAATATGTGCGATAAATTGGTAATTCACCGGTAAAAGAAGTTATTAGACCGCTAAACTATCCCAGTATCCAAGCATGGTAGATGTTTACGGTGAGGGGTGATAATAAGCAGCCCAAGTAATTGTATTAGTTATCCAAAGGTCATTCGGCTGCTAGACTTTGTTAGTTCTAGAAAAATGATGGATGTTTATTGGTATTGGAGCTATGAGAAATTACTGCTTTATCATCTGCTTTCCTTAATACCATCAGTAAAATCAATTGAAAGCAGTATGTTTCTCAATACAACAGCCCGGCTATACTCTGTTTCACAGAAGCCTATGTTGACATGCGCGCGATAGCGGGCGGAGCAAAACTGGTATGTATATAATCAATGTAAAACATCCGACAATATGACAGTTGCTTAGCAAAAAGAAAGGTGCCCAAGTAACAGAGAGACCAACGAGACACCTCCAGCTCCAACCCCCACCTCAAACACACTCGATGATGACTCGTTCCGAAAATAGTGCAGAGCCTTTTCCGGTTTACTAAACCTGACAGCTGGGCTTCTTAATCTAGTCATACAAAATGATGAAACCTTTTTAAATGAGCCGCTACTAGCCACCCAGTAACTATAGAAACCGGATGTGGGACATACATATATAGGCCTTCTACGAAGTTGTGGGAGCAGTGGGACGCTTTCCTGAAGTGGCAGCGAGCCTACTCCCTAATGAAAAAAAAAAGTAGTTGCCTCTCAGCTAGAGGAAAAGAAAACAGTGATATTTTGAAAAAATAAAAACGAGCCATGAAAATAAATCGAAGAAAAACTTACAGAAACCAAGTCCTTGTAGGAACAGCATCATGCTCTCTGTCACCAACTTCTGGGCGGTCGTCCAACACAAGACCACAAGCGTCCGAGACCTAAAGCAAAAATACTGTTTACCGCGATATATAGGAAACATACAGAGAACAATCAACAAGAATGAGCAAAAGGCAAAGCGATAGGACTTGAATTCTATCTAGCGGATGGATAGTGAAAGCTCACCTCAATGTATCCGCTCTAATTAAATTCGTAGTATAGATGGTTACGAAGAATGGATCAATTTATGCTAGACAAAAAATTATCCTTTGAGGGTGTAGTTCACCGGCGTGGTCACTAGGAAAGTAAGCGGACTTTTTTCGCTTTTCGCCAACGCGACGGATCTTCGAAAAGCGGAAAAGTCGCTTCCGTCCTCAGTAAACCACACCCGCAGGTCACTAGGACAAAGCGAACCTTTTCGGCGCTTAGCGGACCTGAGGTTCCGCTCAGCGAAAAACTTCGTTTGGCTTTCTAAGAAAGAGAATTCTTCTGTCCTTGTGAGCCCCACCTTTGAATCATTGTAATGTCCCAAAATACAGTAACACGTGTCTTCACATGAAGGATTGAGGATTACGAAACATCAACATAATGTAATATACTGTCCTATAGTTTCTAGAATCAGCTAGCTAATTCATAAGCTGCGAACCTTCTGTATCACACAGGACTAAGCCTTCAATATTTACCTTGATCCCCCGCCAATCCGAATGGGCGGGATCCAGTTTCGTGTTCACCTCCACAGTATCGTTCACAAATGGGCTTCCAGCACCAACAATCTGCAGTACGGGCACATTCAGCTGAGGGCCACTTTGACCGTCTCGTGATATCGCGATAGCAGAGCGGCTAAAAAGCATACAATTGAGCATTCGCTCGGCAGAAACTGATCAGCCAACGGATGACGAACCATTCATATACAAACTTTTGGAAGCGGCCGAAAACGGCCCATTTTATGAAATTACCACATCTTTAGTAGCAAACGAGACATGGAGCTGATGTTGACAAGCCCCATGTTACAGGAAAATTACTAAAAAATATACTCACTTGACATAGATTCAATGAACATCGCCAAATTTGTGGGATTCGGTAAGTGCTGGAAAGTACACACGATACTGACGCACAATGTCCGGACTACACTCGTCCAAGCGACGTCCAAAATGGTGCCACATGAGATAGTCAACCGTGAAGGTGTTCATTCCAGAACCACGAAGGTAACGAAGGTTCATCTGAAACGCAACTTACATGGTTCAAGTGAAACGGCATATATCTGCCAAAAACCTATTCAACCGCTCCGAAAAAAAAACGCTCGAAACTTATTAGCACCCTATTCATGAATGCGGAGAGGAAACTGGGGTAATGGACATGAGGGATCAATGGCACTACTTGCGGAAATGTTGACACATCGCAACCAAAACTTCGTATTGCTCGATACCCACACTGTTTAGAGTTAGCAAATTCCCGTTGTAATTAATGACAAAACAGTAGCTCTAAGTGAATAACCGAGAAGCGAGCAATAAAACTCTCGAAGAAAATCGAAACAACACCTGTCTACAAAAGCCAGCGAATTCACATTCCATACGGGTCTTCTGGTTGTACTTTTTTGGTTTCATCCACAAATTCGGATAAAACTGACAAGAAACACATAATGAGAGAAGGTGAATTGAACAACGTGCGTCAATTTTCATTATACGAATATATGTTGATGTTTCACTTGTTCTTTTGTATGCCCATTGGTCAATCCAGCCAGCAGTATTTGCCACACCATACAGTTCACAAGGATCAATACGTCCAGGCGTCGTTGATTCAAAAGCTATAACAGAACAATTTAAGGATAAAAAAGGATCATTAAAGTGGACTCTCGAAATTGCTTCTCGCTGCTAGTCTCATGCATAATTACACAACAATCCAATTTACTACCGCCTTTTGCTTCGTGTCCATTAAGGGAGGGGTGTAAACTGATAGTGAACCGAAGTAATGCAACTGGATCTGAGACATATCACGAGCCCAATATTTTGGCTCGTGATATGTCTCAGAGTAAACTTGATGTGGCATATTCAGTGCTTCTACGACGCCGTTCGCCCTCCCTTTGCGCGTCTATATATCAAAAGCTATTATAAAAATTCCGCTCAACGTTTGTTTTTATACGACTCCCCTTTCCGCTCAAAATCCTCCCCCCAAATGCATTCCGCTGATGTCATGTTTGAATTTCGAAACTTCTCCCAAATGCGCCGAGAAGTTCCATAAGTTCTATAGTTCTATAGCTCAATTTTTTCCATTCAGTGAATGGGTGAAAACGGAGTTTAGCTACAAAGAGTTCCAAAAACATCATCAGAAATATTTTCCTATATGCCATCATGGATCCAGGACTAACTAACCGCATATCTGAGAAGAACATTGGCTCCAACTCCGACGCCAAAAGCAATAACAGATTGAAGTCTGGAAACAGAAGATTTACTCTGCCATAGGGTAACAGATGTGAAAAGGGAAATCTATATATGTTGTGGTATGACGTCCTTTCTCGAAACATCTTACAATTCGTAATAATATGTATAAAACGGTCATTATATGCTATAGAGACGGGACTATTGTTCTGCATCAATACCACCCTTTTCCTGCGCACGTGGGCACTTTCACCCCGGTGTTTATACCTATCTTACCAGAACATATCCGCAAAACGACGCAAACTCTAACAGCGTATCCGAAGAGTTGGGGTAGGCGTGTCACCGGAAGTGACGTGCACTTGATAGAAACTATGTGGATAAGCTGCTTCCAACACACATCGCTGGATATCAGCAAAGCATGCTGGCAACAGCTTATCCACGAAACTTCTATCAAGTGCACGTCACTTCCGGAGACACGCCTACCCCAACTTTCGTACATCGACTGCGGAATGAACACATATGCTCAAGTTTAGCAAAAAAACTTCCGATCCATACAAAATTTTCCGCCCGGTCCATTCTCCTTTTCTTCTAAAACATTAATGACTGGAATTTGTTGGTACTGAAGAATTTAAGACAGAAATGTTTTTGAGTCCATGGAATGAAACGTGTGATTGTTTGCCGCATTGCTGCAACGGTCTTTTGATGGATCCTTTTTTGTGTGTTCATCGCCCACGTATCCCAGGTGGGGTGACCACGCTCGCAAAGTCGCGCGGTCCCATGCTGCCAAAAATGCCAAAACGCGCATTTTCGTTAACGTGTTAAAATAGCTAGAGACCGGTATGGCTTCTTATGAAGTGCCGAACTAGAATAAATAATGTAGCGACATTGTATCGAAGCATTTTCTAAAAAGTTCACAACACGGCTGACACAACACAAATCATCTTAACCCTTTCCGGACCGCCTGACACACATGGGGTGTCAGGCCCAATTTGCTCCCTGTGGCCGCCTGACACACATGGGGTGTCAGGGACTTCAAGGAGTAATTTTTGCGAGGATTCGGTTTTTCTACAAAATGTTTTTTGTTGTTACATATCTATGTAACATACTTATGCCGTACGTATGAAAAAATCTGGACTACAATCTCGAAATAGGTCCTAAACTAAAGAAAAACTAAGTTAACTTCCACTTCGTTCTTGAAGAAAACAGTTATAACTCATTTGAAAACAATTCATACAAAAGCAATCATGACATTTTGTACACGTCGTAGCTGATACTATTGAACCTAAAAGTTTTGGATACTTTCTAATCCCTTTTTCCTCATTACAACTTATTTTGAACAATTTTCACTCCTGCCTTCCTTTGTGTGGCCCTGTCACTTTTATTACAGGACGGCTTTCTGTTATATTTACCACAAATATACTTTAAGAAATGAGAAAGACACAAACGAGAATAATATTGGTTTTTATGGGAATACAGATTAAATACATGATGTTTATGCTCGCTGAGTAGCGCGCGACGGTGAGCATAAAAAGGCGCCGGCCACACGCGCCCGCCACGTGAAAAGTGCGCGGTCCGGAAAGGGTTAAAAAGAAGGCAACGGGTGCCCTAATTCGAAACTATTAATTTCTGACTATAGCGAGTATACTTATCCAAAAATAAAGCACTTACTCATAGTAATCAACAACAGTTTCAACAATTTTTGCAAGACCATCCATAGACGGGTATACATATCTGAAGATGAGCGACTAGACACAATTTAGAAAGAAGATTAGTGAAGAGCAAAGCATCACTCACGTGTCTGGCAGAGTCTGAGCATCTACCTCTTGCCCTGGAGCATTGATGTTGTAGATACAAAACTTCTCCGTAAACTCAGCAATAGATACGAATTGGAAGAAATTTTGAAAGTTGCTGTCAGCTGAAATAATTTGGTCATTTACAACTCTTCAAAGTCCAATATTAAATTATTCAGAACTAGAAACTCTACAGAAAGGAACATGAAACTACGTGATCAACTACGATGTATAATATTTGAGTTTTCAAGAATGTGAAAAGTAAACTCACAGTCAAGAGCAAGATCATGAAATGTAATGAGAGGATGTTTATCGCGATTTCCATAGATTGAGATTTTCACTTTTCCATACGCAGTATCAATTCTTTCCTTAAAATAGCAATGAGAATAAACCCACTAAAGAGAAACATTGCAACCTGATAGCTCAATATCAATAATACACAAAACTGCTGATTGGTGAGCAGGTTGAGGGTTACACAAACATGTCCAAACAACTAAAACGACACCGACGTTGCTCATAACTAAATATTTAACGGCATGTGATGCACATCGCAGCCAACTACGAACGAATTCCAGAGGAGTAGAAGGTGCATGAACGATTTCCCGTTCGCTTTTGAATCCACCCCAGACCTTCCTTCTCTTGCGAAAAACTGGATTATTTAGGCGATATGAACTGCCGCACCACATGCCTCTCCCAGAACAAGAATTCGAAGATAGAGCAATCATGAGCTTTTGTGAGGGATGTTACACGAATGCCAGACTTCGTGACCAATAGCGATTAGCCAGCAATTCGAGCAATTCTTAGTGTTCCATGTAAGCCGGCCAGTGTCCTCAAAGAGCCGCTGAGCCTCCTTTTGGACCGGACTTAACACTGTGGACATGGGATACTAAGGCCGATGTCAGACTTTGCGAATCGCGCGATGATTCGCAAGTCTGACATCAGCCTAAGAACTGTCGCGAAACTGCTAACAGCGCTGTCGTCAAGCCTGATAAGCCGATCCGTATTAATCATGAACAACCCGAACCTTGCTATCGATGGGGCTACCCAGAGCTTATAGAGATGCCAATATGGCCATCAAAGTCCAATCCTTTCTTCTAGAAAAAAAGCGAAATTGATTAATAACATACCTCTACCAGGTCCGGAAGCTGATTATCCAACAGTGAATCGTGAGAAAACGCGTGCATTTCCATAGAAGCCATAATCAGCCTCTAAACATGTGGAGTAGTGGAACATATAACCAGTCCCATTTATTACGATTACGTAAGAAAATTGCTTCAAAACAGACATTGTTTTGAAAAAATCGCGTAATCAATACGAGTACTAGTAAAAGACAAGTAATCCTGCTAATCAAAAGAACGCCTGCAAGACATCGAGACCAATTGAAACCAATGTATTACGCTTTCGTAAGCCTCTCGAAAGACCTCTAATTTTTTTGTCACTGTGGAATATGATAAACCTTTTCTTATCGAGTACCACATGTAAGGAGGATGGAATGAGATAGCAATTTGCCACTGGTGGCCAGCGATCTCATGAATATGCTTATTTGACACTCTCAATAACAAGGGTTTTTGCTTGGACTCAGCCAGCTACGAAACAGCGAACCTTCCACGGAGCAGAACAGCGCAAGTAGTTAGGGGGAACATCATGGCGCACAATCCCAAGGCAAGCATTCCCATCTCCACATCATCTCACTTTCCATTTGTTCTCTTTTTGCTCCAAGCAAACACCCTCGACCTTTCCACCTCGTAATTGGACTGCTATGGCGCTGAGACGAAGTGCTGCGCCGCTCCCTGACTACACTTTCACCACGCAAATTTTTGTAGCCTATGAGCATTTAAGAGTTTCGTGGCATCTGCCATTCAAGAAAAATGATCAGCTTCGCGTAAAAGACATTAGCTTAGAAATTTTTAGTCGGGGGAATATCAAACGAAGTTAGCTCGACTTCCGTTTCGCATGCGCCCTTAGACGAAAGCTAAACTGAAGAATACTTACTTCTGTGCTCTTCAGTAAGAAATGGAGGAAAAAGCGTTGAATGAATAATTTATATAAATGGCAATAAACTATTCGAAAAATGTAAAATGTAATATTATGATTGAACTCTGTGATAAATGTCACATTAAATAGGGATGTTCGGCTATTGAATGACATGATAACGTCTTAGTAATTGCGCTTGTTGATCACTGGCATTAAAACAACGCTCGTCAGATGAAAGGTGCAATTCTACGAACTGTGGAACTAATAAAGACTGAGGAATACCCCGCCCAAGTAAAGACAAAGCAATGGAGCCTTTACGAAACATGAGAAAGTTGTGATTAAAATTGAAGATGATCGATCCCTTTAAGCTTTAGACGAAGCTGAGCGGAGTATCGATCAGAGAACGGTTTGTTTGCATTATCGATTACGGTAGGCGTAAGCGACAAACCGTAATCACGGAAGGTACGCTGACTGACGCGAAAGATTCGTTGTCAAGCAAAGTGCAAGCACTGCCATTGACTTGGTAATGTTTCGCACACTTAATGGCCAGGCAGAAATCTCAAGGTTTTTGCCCGGCCATTATGTAAGTGTGCAAAACGTATTGAATGCATTAGCTGCGGTATTGCGAAACAACCACAGAATGCTTGATTTTATAAAATAGGCGCACAATATGTGACAGCCTCATTCAAAATTCATTCTCAAACGTTTCTGCAGTATTTGACGAGAAGAGTAGTTCGCAATGCGGGGGGGGGGCATCCCGTAGCATTGCGTCAGGTTCACGGAAACGCTCAATTTTAGGACTAACCATAAGCCTCAGAGGAGAGGAGGGAATCCGAGGTACGTAAGCAATTCTCATTCTCTCCGAGTTCGTCCCTCTCCGTTAGGCTCAGTCCTAGTGACCTTCCACAGGCTGCCCCCCCCCCTTTTAGGCACATTGCGCCAAAAGTCATTTTCTAGAATGGAGGGCGGCCAGCTGGGCAGCATGAGCTCGATATCTCGATATTTGGTTCATTACAATCTCGACTTTCGAATAGGCTTACCCTTTCACACTTCATTGCCTTACTGTAATCAAGGGACAATACAGTCTGACTCCAGAAGTGCATAGAGCCGGGGTTCAATAGAAACTATAAGTACTACGTAGCTAACTCCTCTGACAAGGGAGGTCGTTCAGGGTGTGGGCTGCTATGGCCCCGTATAAGTTCTATGCATTCTGCATGACTAATAGTAAGATTTCTTTTTGCCGTTCATGGGGTGTCCCCCAAGAGGCCCATCGCGCGGCGAAGGAAGAGACGCAGATGCGGCAAAGGACGAGTCGCAGCGCGTGCTGTGCGATATGAGACGTAGTATGGTACACTCTATTTAACCTGACGCCTAACCGCTACAGTATGCGCTGCGACTCGTCCTTTGCCGCGTCTGCGTCTCTTCCTTCGCCGCGCGATGGGCCTCTTGGGGGACACCCTGTGAAAACACGTGCAACCATCTACCGTCTTCTAATTATTTCTAG